CCCCCCCCCCCCCCCCCCCCTACATCCTGATGCCTGAAAGGTGGGCAACATGGTGATGACTCCGCGGCAGTACGCTGCGGCACCCCGGGCTGCGGCAAGACTTGCCAGTGCTTAAGGAAGGTGTTGTCTTATCGTGGCCCAGCACCAGTATTGCTGACAGCACGGATGAGCTTACTGGCTCACTTGCAACTGTTGTCTTTGTATCGCATACATCGTTTCTGAACTCTCATATAATCCATTTGATAAACCCATAAACCCTAACCCTGGCAACCTAAGCACCAAACTCTGATCCAAACTGCACCACCCATAGACGGTAATCCTAGAAGGCCTGCGCCGTGAAGCCCCAGCTGCCCTATCATGAAACCCGGATGCCTCTGACATGCGGCAGTGCGGACTCTGAAACTTGTGGTTAGGGTTTAGGGTTTAGGGTCTGGACAAGCCTGGAATGCACAAGCACTCACCCCCTGAAGCCATGAGCCCTAAATCCGAAGCACATCCAAGCGAGAGAGAAAGATCCCATTGCACTTCAAAAACAATCCCTTAAACCATAAAGCTTAACAAACCCTAAACCCTTAAATGGCACCCAAATCCTAAACCCCTAAACCCCAAAGACTTAAACTCCTTAAGCCACCTAAATCCTAAATCCTAAAATCGTACCAGGAAAATCCGCAGAACCCCAACTTCTCGCCTCCACTTCGGCCCGGCCGGGATCCCGGGATTGGAATTGTTGGGTTTTGGGGTTTAAGGTTCCATGTGGGTTGTAGTTGCACGTGGGGGTTGCGAACGGTTAGGGTTTACGGGTTTTTAGAGTTTAGTGGTTTAGGGTTCGTATGAGGTTTGGGTGTGGTGATTTTGCGCGTGAGAACTTGAGGTGTAAGGAAAAGAAAGGACTCAGCTGAGGTTGAAGACCAGCGGGTTGGGGCTTGCAGTTTTTGATGAGCATGTGTTAGGCACAGAGTTTGGAGTTTGGAAGCCTTAGTTTGAGCATGAAGCGTCCGGGTGTATTGAATAGGCAAACGGGTGGGGTAGAGCAGCTCGGCTGCAACGCATGGCTGACGTGACCTTTTATGCTGAGGCAACGCTAAGCCCTCATAGCTTCCTTATTATAATTATAGTGTAATATACACCAGTAGGGCCCCTATATTACATCCCGTGTCGCCAGGACCAGGCTTGGACCGAGGATAGAGGCGCAGCAGCTGCCCGGTAACCATAAAGCTCCCAAGCCCTGGACCCTACGAGCTACGCCGATGGAGCATGACCTGAGGGTGGAGCCCCAGCTTCGGGGGCACCCCAAGAGAGCCCCACTCGCCGCATGTGGCCTCGGACCCAGTGCTTTGAAGGTTTTAGGGTTTTGGGGTTTTGGGTTCGAGGTTTCAGGTTTTAGGTTTTGGGTTTTGGGCTCAAGGTTTTAGGGTTTTGGGTTAAGGGCTCTTGGGGCTTAGGGCCAGGGTGTATTGCAAGTGCATCAGCCGGGAGGAGGCTGCTACCGTGGCTGACTTCATGTCCTGGAGATAAATCGGGTCGAAAAGGTTCCGGGCTACAGTTGTGCAAGGGCTGTGCCCGGGCGTTGGCCCAGCCTCATCGGGTAGGGGGTGATGATCGTAGGCATCACGCCAAGCACATCGAAGCGGCGCCGAGTATCGAACTTCTTCCCTACCTCTGCAATATGTATGGCAGCTGCTGGTTTACTAAGCTCACCACATAAAACTTCCTGTGTTGTACTTAGTTGTTTTTTGCTAGACCCCGTTGCACATTCTAAAGATTAAAAGCCGAACTGATACTCAACAACTGCATGATGTGCCACACGTTTTGAAACGGGACTTTCGTGTTTGTTAGTATACGGGCCTGGATAAGTAGCTATACTATTTTGGAGGGTTCCTTATTATCAATACAGCAAAATATACCCCAAAACCCTCTTCTAATCATTAAGGCCCCTATAGCACCCTAAACCCTTATAACCCTTAGCGCTTAAAGCCTTGACCCTGGGCCCCTTTCCTGGGTCTGATCCTTAAACCTTAAACCTTAAACCCTAAAGCCCTAAACCCTAAACCCTAAACCCTAAACCCTAAAACTCTAAGCCCTTAAAAAAGTGCCCCGGGCCGGTGACGATGTCAGACTTTTGAGAAGTCGTAGTCTTCGCCTCAGGAAGCT